ATGAATGTGTGTATATGAATGAATGTGTGTATATGAATGAATGTGTGTATATGAATGAATGTGTGTATATGAATGAATGTGTGTATATGAATGAATGAATGAACAGCATATGAATGGGTGAATGACTGTAGTGTAAAGTGACCTGATGAAACTCAACCTAACTTCAGGTCCTTCCTGTTTTGGACCTGCAGGTTCAGGTGCATCGTTTACCCGTTCAAGCAGAAGCTCAGCATCTCCACAGCCACACTGATCATAGTGGTGATCTGGCTTCTGGCCGTTTCCATCATGTGTCCCTCTGGGGTCATGCTTCAGGTGACCAAGGAGCACAGCATCCGGATCCTGCTGGGCCACAACAATAAAACCGGTCCTTTTTATTGGTGCAGGGAGAAGTGGCCTAACCAGGGCATGAGGAAGATCTACACCACTGTCCTGTTTGCAAACATCTACCTCGCCCCTCTTTCCCTCATTGTCATCATGTACGCCCGGATTGGCATCACGCTCTTTAAAACGGCCGTTCCAACTGGGGGGAAGCCAGGCCCTGACAACCGCCACGTGTCCAAGAAGAAACAAAGAGTGATCAAAATGCTTCTCATTGTTGCTCTGCTGTTCATCGTGTCCTGGCTGCCGCTGTGGACCCTGATGATGCTGAGTGACTACGCCAGCCTGACAGATAACCAGTACAAAATTATTAACATTTACATCTACCCCTTTGCCCACTGGCTGGCCTTCTTTAACAGCAGCATAAACCCCATCATTTACGGGTTCTTCAATGAGAATTTCCGAAGAGGTTTTCAGGCCGTGTTTAAGTTCAGCTTGTGTTCGGCGGACGGACAGAGAAGGAAAAGCTACTCCCACAGACTCCAGGGGAACTCTGTCCTCCCASATAACAACCTGCAGAGCTCTTTGGAGCCCATTTCTCTCAACAACCTGGACAAGAACTGTTCCCGGCAGTTCAACCAGGTTACTGAACGAGACTTGGTGATGGAGGACCTGGAGAAGGAATCTTGTAGCAGTGGTGGTGTGACTGCACTGTCTATCTGAAGAAATCCTTCTTTCCAACCAGAATTAGGGAGAATCAATCTCAAATTCCCAATACCTCGTGGAAAACTGGTGGACCTGTCTGAACGGGCAGGTCAGTGTGGTCCTGTCAACAGATAAAAACACATGACGTATAAAACAAAAATATTTGATTTTAGCAAACAAATGAGTCTGGTGTTAAAGTGAAAATATGTCTTCTGGGTGATTCTTCATGTTTTTTATAGGAAAAGTCAAAACCCATGCAGCTGTTTGGACTGCAGCTATGAAAGAAAAGTCCAGCACACACAAGGWTTACTGGATGTCTAATAATCTGTTGATTCTGAAAACAGGAAGTGTTTTCTTAAAGATTGTTTTTAATAACTTTACTGCTCGATTCTTCAGATTTCATCAGTCTAAACATCTGCAGCTGCTGCTGTCCTTGGTCTTCCTGTCTGCCGYCAGGTAGTGAGGTCCGGTGCTTCCTCTCTTCTTCAGCGCACATATATATATATACACACACATACATACATACATATATATATATGTATAAACAGTTCTCAGATATGTATCTGATCTAGATGGAAACAGAGAAGCTGACGTGTCTGGACCACATGTTGAAGTTAAAGCCAGATGTTTTCAGAAGTTGGTCTCTGGTCCAATGTGTTTACATGAGAGTGCAGTTCTCCAGACTGATGAGAAAACTTTTTATAATCCATCAGTTGAACGGTTTGAATTCTGCAATGTGCTCTGCAAACAGAAAAGTGTAAATACTGTCAGATGTTACTGAGGAGTATGTTGTGTGTTTCCCTGTTTGTTCTGTCAGGATTAAASGTGTAAAGAAAGAGACAGTGAAGAACAAACCTGTTAGTTTAATATTTTACTGTACAAACATCAAATCTTTGACTCCAGGTCATTCATGGTTCAAACACCAAAACTTTATTTCACAAACTTTTACAGACTTCAAGTTTCTGTTCTACGTTGTCTTTTAGATSTGAAAGATGAATTCATCCATTATCTTGTTCCAGAGGCAGGTCTTGGGGGCAGCAGCTGGACCAGGGAGGTCCAGACCTCCGATTCCTCAGCCAGCTCTTCCAGTTGTTCTGGGAGGATCCCAAGGTGTTCCCAGACCAGTGAGAGACATACCTGGGTCATCCTCAGGGTCTGAACAAGTCCAGAACACCTCAAGGGTCATCCTCAGGGTCTGGACAAGTCCAGAACACCTCAGGGGTCATCCTCAGGGTCTGAACAAGTCCAGAACACCTCAGGGGTCATCCTCAGGGTCTGGACAAGTCCAGAACACCTCAGGGGTCATCCTCACCAGATGGCCCACCTGTGGTGGTTCCTCATGGAGAGCTGAAGCTCTCACCTTATGCATTCAGTAAAACTCATGTTCACTTGATTTCTGCTCCAACAACATCCCACTGAACATCTGGTGCTGGATGTAGAGAGGAAATGTGCTTTGACTCATTTACAACTTGTTTTATTTCAGCAGACACTGCTTGAGTCGGGAATCCAGGGAAGTGTTTGTAGATTGGTTCTGAGCAGGAGAAACCTTCAGTTTCCACAGGCTCAACACGTTCACACTGCTCTATTTACAACCTTTGAAATGATAAAAGTTGCAATGTTTCATGTGTTTGTATTTTTATAAAATACTCCTAAAGTGAGAGAAAAGCTTGTGTGTTGTTTWGGAGGAAAACTGATGTGAAAACAGATATTTTTTTGTTTTCTTTATTTTTGAATCAGCAAGTAAAAAGTGGAGATGTTCAGTGCATGTGTGTCTTTGTACTGACAGATATTTCAGTGGAAAACTTTGTTTCTGTGAACTAAAACTGTCCAAATTCTGTCAATAAAAGCTCCAAGTGCAAACAGAACTTCCTGTGCTGAAAATAATTCACTGACTTTTCTTTAAAGGAATGCAAATCACCCGCCACCTTTCATGACAAGGTTTTACACTAATAATAATGATAATAATAATGATAATAATAATAATAATGATAATGATAATAATAATAATAATGATAATAATAATGATAATAATAATAATAATGATAATGATAATAATAATAATAATGATAATAATAATGATAATAATAATAATAATGATAATGATAATAATAATAATAATAATGATAATGATAATAATGATAATGATAATAATGATAATGATAATAATAATGATAATGATAATAATAATAATAATGATAATGATAATAATGATAATGATAATAATGATAATGATAATAATAATGATAATGATAATAATAATAATAATGATAA